TTTTAGGATGTAATATATTGGGTAATGGATCGTAAAACCGTAGGTGGACCACGAAACCACACTCCCTTTGACGACATTGCACATGAGTTATTGAGTATACCGACGAAACCACATATGATTTGACTCATCTGTAGTTTTGTTTGCTACTTTAAGATAAATACTAATTTTTTGTTATTTTAAGCTAATTCAATGATTTTTTTAGCTCTTAATCGATCCATAGAGTATTTAAGAAACCAAGGTAAAAACCATGCCTTAATGCTGTTGGGACTGGTAATCACATCATCACTTCAAAAGTTGTATGATCCCATTGCAATTCTATTTCCTATCATTTTTCTCTGATTACTCACTATCCCTTTTAAATGGTCACCATGGACCCATGTCATAAATATCATTTTAATTTTATATTTTTTAACACAAACATTTTTTATAACTAAAATTATTTTTCAACAAGTTAAATAAAAAGAATTACATTAATAAAACTAAAAAACAATCACCTTAATAAAAACTAAAAGAAAACTACATGGATTAACTTCGGCCTTTACAATTTTTTGGGCCTTTACAACTGCTGCCGGGCTTGTCCATAGTCAATCCAGATCTCTCTACCCTGTATGCATACGGTTTTATTTGAAACGAATTGATTCCAAACAAAACCCATACTTGTTCTGTTTCAATCATCCATTCGAGTATGTCGTATGACTATTTTTGGTTTCAGAGTTCAGACACATTGGGTTGGAGCTCTACCGAACGATCTGATCTCAGTTCGATTCTGGGTATTTTCCTGTCCCAAACAAAATGTTATCGTTACTTCGTTCCAGACGCTTTGCACAGCGATGTCCTCCAAAAAGCAAGCAACTTTTGACCTCCTACTTCTTCTCCACCATCAGCGCCACCGACCACCGCCATGGCTCGAAGCCCAGTCAACCATCACCGCCACCGATCCAGGTTCTACTCACTGAATCAGCTGGCCGTGGTGTTTTTGCTACCCGGAATATAGAATCAGGCGAACTCATCCATACAGCCAGACCCATGATTTCTCACCCATCTCTCTCCTCAATTGACAGAGTATGTTACTTTTGTCTCAAAAACACTCCAAAAGGTTCCGATTTTGAGGCGCAGAAAGTGCTGTTTTGCAGTGAAGAATGTAGGGAACAAGCAAAGGTATATATGTATACATGCCCACAACCTGTTTGAGATTTTGTCTCTGAGAGAAAGAACTTGACTGAGGTTAAGAAAATGGTACATAATCGTAACATACAAAACCTTAATCGATCATTTTGTTACCATGTTATCCCCAAAATAACTGCACATTCACTTTCGATGTCAAAGTAGTTGCTAATTTTCAAATTCACCAATGCTTATTGCAATCCTACAAACTCTCATTCACTCATGCTTATTTCATTTAGGGCTTCTATGAAGTTGAAAAGGGAGCTGATTGGTCAGCATTTGTTGCTCATTGTCAGTTAGGATCATCCCATATTCTTGCTCTTTTATTTTCCAATACCTTTAGCCTCCATTTCATATCTGCATATATCAGATGATAATTTGTCTTTGAATTTTGATTATTCTAGAAACAGGGCTTTAAAATACCCATTTCTTGCTAAACGATTAGCCTGCATGATATTATCCGGAATAACCTCTGCAAATTCTCTAGACATACTTCAACCTGCCCTTTTGTCTCCTCAAATGATCTCACAGGTAAATATAACACATAAAGCCTTATTCTTTTTATAAAATGTCAACTAATTAACCATATTTTCTCACACATTCTTTTAATAACATTTCCCAGATGGAAGAGGAGCTCAGTTTATTGAAAAGTGCACTAGAAGCTTCAGGCATCACAAGCAAACAACTAAAATGTAACTTCACAATCTTTTTCTAAATGCTGAGTTTCAGTTAACTTATTATCTTAAACTATATGTTTTGAAATAACTTTGACTAATTGACTGAATATATATTATCAACAGTTCTAACTATAGAATGGTATTCTGGAGTACTTGCAAGAATTCGTATCAATGCTTTTCGTATTGAATTAGCTGGAGGCTTTTCTTATGAAGATCTACTTGCATCAGCAGCTTTATCAGTAGAATCAGAAGCTGCTGTTGGCAATGCTGTTTATATTCTTCCATCTTTTTATAATCATGACTGTGGTAAGACCTTGATATACACAAAATTATTATAAAATGAAAATTAGTATTTGATGTAGTTTCTTGATTTTCTATGGTATAGATCCTAATACGCACATAGTTTGGGTGGAAAATGTGGATGCACGATTGAAAGCTTTGAGAGACATTGAAGCAGGTCCAATACATGTCAAACACAGTATAAGATTTTGTCTGATGTCAGTTATGTTATTAAGAAGTTGTTTGATGATGTGGCAGGTGAAGAGTTGCGGATATGTTACATTGATGCAAGTATGGATCGTGATGCGCGACAAAATATTTTGTCCAGTGGGTTTGGATTTGAGTGTCGTTGCCCTCGTTGTTTGTTAAATGATTGATAATTTCAATAAATTTCGGATAACTGTTAAAGAGTCTCATGAGCTTATTAATGAGCAATCTCAAATAGTTTTTCTTTTTCTTTTATTAAAAAAAATTACATTAGGCTGCTGTGTATAGTTCACCCTCTTCATACCATTTTTTATGAAAAAATAGTAAGTAGTAACCATATGATACAAGTCATTGAAACCCTACTAAAAGTTAGTTCATCTATTATGAGGTTTAAAAGGAATATATTTTTGGATTTGATTGTTCATTTTAGATTAAAAATATAATTTTTTGTTTGATTTAGATAAAAACCAATTTATGATTACTTATAGTATACCATTTGTTTGAACTTTGAATCAAATATAACTTTATCTATAATACTATAACTTGCACAAATATCGTTTGTCTCATGGTCTCACCCACAAATGTCGATCGACTCACCCACAAATGTCACAGCCTATGATGTAAGACTTGTTGATAGATTTTTTGTTGTGGGATTTTTTTGTTGCTTTTGATTTTGGACGTGCGTGAATCTGATTTGGGACGTGTGTGAATAATGATAGGGAGGAGTAAAGACGAAGGTAATCAAGTTATGAAAACATAATCCATTGGACTAGTATAAAAGATTTGCGAAAGATTTGATCTTTTAAAATTCCAAAGCAAATAGGTTTTGTATTCAGATCAGGTTGGACCGACCTGTTTTGTTTTGTATATGGACCTTTTCTTTGCATTATACCAAGAACCGAGAACCAAACCTAATCTAATAAATCGGTCTAGGTTTGGTCCCGATCCGATCCAGATATCCAAGCTCACCCCTACCACACAACACACCATTTTAATTTCCATGTCACCTTTTTTTTTTCCCGTTTTTAATAAATAAACAAAACAATTTTATAAAGTAAAAACTTATAAACATAACATCTAAACAAAAACATTACATTTTAACTAAAAATAAATACATTACAAGACACTAAAAAAAGTTATCATAAATAAAAAAACATACAACAATAGCTAATTTAAATTTTGCCTATAATCTTTTCTCGAATCAAAACACTAGCAAAACTTCAGGATCTTCGGCACCAAAGTTGCGGTGCTTGCCCTTAGAATTGTCAATTCATTGAGGAGTTCTTGTTGCTGTTGGAGTGCTTCTTCTCACTCTTGTCGTTACTGCTCAACCCCTTCTCGTCATCGAAGAATTTCTAAGTACTCACATCTCAATACATTTTTCTCTTCATGCACTACTATGTGCTCTTTGAATTTCTCTTATATTTCCACCATATGTTTCGATTTCCTTTCACTATTCTCATCATTTTTAGCCACTTGCTTTGCCTTGTCCTTTCCTACAGGTTGTTGTGGATGGGAGACCGTGGATGGGAGACCTCTGCAATGTCATCCAAAATTTCATCCATCTCGGTGTTAAGGTCGATGTAAGTTCCTGCATCATCGAAAACGTCTACCCAATTCGAAATTTCATGACAACTTGATTATGTTTCCGACAACATTGGAACGTGAACCCGTTTGGATCTTTTCTCGAAATCTCCCATGGTTTCTAAAAAATGAAAACATGGTCCATCTCTAACCGATATTGCACTTTTAGAGCTCTAATAACATCGAAGTCATTGTTCCCACTTTAATTTTCCGAATAAAACTTATTGTATATCACTTTGAATTTGGTTTACAATAAACAATCATAACTTATCTTATGAAAAAGATCAAATCGGCAAATAGACAAAACCCCCAACTTTAACATTCTATAGACAAAGGAAAACAACAACATAATCATAGCAACTTGTTATCAAATAAAAGTACTTGATCTTAAAGAATACCTCATATAAAATGTAAAATTCCACAAGTTTGAATTAATATTTGCCTTTTCATCATATTCAGGTTTTTAAGTCGACCCGCTCTTGACGCATGTTTGTTGCGATAGCCGAATTACAAATTTTGTTTCTAAAGTGTAATGAGATTTTGATAAACCCCAGCTCTGCTCGATTGAACCCTAGAACATCCTCATTTTCTTCCGAATTCTAACTGGATACCTAACGCCGATGATGATCGATTTCTTCTCTAATGGAAACGAGGTCCTACAGGTTTTTTCTCATCACCTTCTTGTCTAACCTTCGTCATATCGCTTCTTATTTACATCTTTCGTTTATTTATTTCATCTCGAGAGTTCACGATAAATTGTCCTTCTTACCTTGCAATTCGACGCAAATGTTTGTTGATCGAATCACAAATTATGCAATTTCGTTTTGTATTTAGTCTTGCAGTATATGCATCGAGTCTTTATGAGAATTCGATAGCCTTAATGTATACACAACCATTCTTTTATTGAAATTAATCGCATGGATCGATTATAGATTCTAGATACGATATAACTCCTAGTTTACTGTTAACCTTGCGTTTCAGAATCCATAAGACGAACAGTTTGCAATATATACTATTTTGAATCATAAGGCGATAGAGTTGGCAGCGAACGCGTATAGGAAACAGTCTGAAGATGATGAAGATGAACAAATGACAAGAAAAAAACAGAAAGTTAGCTGCTTTGATTTTCTTTCAGACGACATCCTTATAGAAATCCTCAAAAGGCTTCCTGATGATTTCCTTCGTTATAAAGCTAAGCACATTTGCAGACGATTTTTCAATGTAATCACCAATGGACTCTTACTAGACCACACTTCCTTTATCTTCCAAGAACTCGGTAAACCCACAGTGCGACATGTAGACATAAGAGAAGAACAACAAGAGCTAGAACTAAAAGAGAAAAACCTGGATTTACCTAAGAAAGGATGGGTAATGTCATGGTGTAACGAGTTTCTTCTGATAACAAATCAAGAAAGAAAAGAATACGTTTTTAACCTAATCACAAAGGAAGGATCATATCTTCCTTCATGCACATATTGCAGAGGACGCTACACTTACGAATGTGGAGTTTCCCTTTCTTTTGATGGATTTAAAGGAGTACACAAAGTGCTTCACATGTTTATAGGTCCACCAATGCAATGTCATATTCTTATCTTGAAAAGAAACATTCTCTCTCGTTTCTCCTCAAAGTGGAAAAAGATCGAAATACCTTCTTGTACGGATGAAGGATGGGGTTCATGGGGTTACCCTGTTTCAGTTCAAGCGAGATACATTCACTGGGATGTTCATGGTGATGGTGGATACCTGGTTTCCATGGATATGGTGAAAGAGAAGATGATCCGAATGAGTCTTCCTATACCTGAATCTAGTTTCAGATACACTGTTTTTGAAATGGGTGGTTTTCTCACTCTTATTCATCAAGTTTCCTTCGAACAAACTGACATGTGGATTCTTAAAGATTTTGAGAAGATGAAGTGGGAGAAGTTGGAGTTAACTGTTCCGAATTGCTTTTTTGGAGAATACGATGATTTTCTTATAACACCTATGTCTAGTTTGATAAGTAAGAGATATATGATGTGCATGAAAACTGCTATTCGGAATTGTGGTGTGTGTAGTTATGATCTTAAACATGGAGTTGTGAAAAAACTAGACATTGACTTCGGTCAAAATGATCGTTGTGTGGTTTATTCTTCATCACCAAGTTTTATATAGTCAGGTATTGGTTCATTTTGGTGTCATAATTTGATGCGTTTTGTTAATTTAATAAATGGCGTTATCTTTTTTGTCTAATATCACATTATGTTTTTTTAATATCTTTATGTGCAGAAAATTAGAGAAAGTGAGAGCACTCAATCGCTGAAGCACAAACCAAGTGTTTTTTTTTTTTTTTTTTTTTTTTTTTTCTGAGGGATTTCTAATTGAAAGAATTTTGCCTATCTTGTTATCTTTGTATATAAATTTTTGGTAATTTGAATATAAAGTTCAGAAATTTGAACACCCGTTTATGGTTTTTGGCATGGGTATTGTAGCACATTATAAAAGAATAAAAACTCATCGAACATTTTAACAAATTAAACGTAAAGTGGCTTGTTTGAAATACATAAAACCTAAGAATGGTTTACGAATTACTTAGTAATTTTAATATAATATATAAATTTACATTCGAGTACTTTTCGACAACTTGCTTGCAACATGTGATGACAATATCTCAGTCGCTACACTATTTTCAGTATTATGAAAGAACCTCTTTAGAATGAAATGTGCCAATATAGTATCAAACTCTTTAAGATGACAAACCAAAGCATAATAATACACATTAAAATAACATTTAAAACCGAATCAAAGTTTGAGATTCAAACATTAGTAGTAAATTTCAAATTCAAAGCAATTTTAATTTATGGAAAATATGAAAATTTGACAAAAATGTAGAGGAATGAAAATGGTATAGCAAGCGGTGTAACATTGAATTTTAGTATTTTAGTGACATAATGACTGTTATATATATATATATATATATATATATATATATATATATATATATATATATATATATATATATATATATATATATATATATATATATATATATATATATATATATATATATATATATATATATATATAAAACTCACTATACTACGTCGTTTTCTATTATATAATACATTCTAATTGTTCGGTATTTTTATAAATTAATTTTTAACTTGATTTACTTCAAATATTTTTTTATAAATTACCTATTTATTTTCTTGTTATATAATTTTCACTTTCAACTACAATATATATAGCCGAATAAGTGTTCGGCAAAAAGATGTGATGTAAGAGAAAGACAATAGTGAAATTTCAAAAATCTTGAAAGTAAATCAAGTTAGGGTTGATGTTTAAGAACATTATAATGAATATATCAAACAAAACGACGTATTTTAGTGTGTTTGAGTACCTAAGCTTATATACCCTTAAGTATATATATATATATATATATATATATATATATATATATATATATATATATATATATATATATATATATATATATATATATATATATATTCGATTTCAATGTGGAGATGGGAACGTAGAGGAGGCCAATGAAAAGGTATCACATTCACATTGCCTTGATCAAAATAAATATAATCGTAAGGTACATTTTTTAGTCTTGTGTATATTTCAAATTTTCGATTTTGGTCCATAATTTAGCGTAAGGAACAATGAGGTCATAATCGGTGAAAAAAAAGGAATTTGAAATTGTAAAATGAGAACTTAAAAGTTCATTAAAATAGATGAGACATGTTTCTTTTTTTTGGAATTAAATTTAATAAAATGCACTGAAGTGATACGTGGATAAAGTGTTCTTGATATAAATATTTGTTTCTTTTTTAGACCAAACAAATTGACTGAATCATTTGATTATTTATGAGTTAAAAAATGAATATAAAGGTTTAACACATAGTATATGGTTATTATTTTAAAAAAAAAAAAAAAATTTATTATTTTTTTATCATCAGCTGATAATTCTTTTGGGTAATTTTCTAAAAAATGAGTTTTTCGAATTCATTCTAATATTGAGGAATTAACGTTGTAATGGATGGCATTGATTAAAATTGCGAGTAATTATACATACCAACGTACTTGCTCTTTTTTTAACAAAAAATAGCAAACAGAAAAAAAAATCCCATTATTGGTAACCAAATATGTAATATTTTTCCTACCAAAGGGACCATTATATTATATTTCTGCCAAAGGATCCAATTATGTAATATTTTTCTAGCAATAAGGACCAATTTTGATAATATTTTTTCTAGCAATAAGGACCAATTTTATAATCTTTTTCTGCCACATGACGAGTTATTTCTTATTTTTTCTTCCACTTTGGTAAAATACTTATATGTTTATTAATTTTATAACAACAACATTCTAGCCGTTGAATGAAAATAGGCATAGTAAAAAGCTAAAAATAAATTGAAAGGATAATAAAAATTCTTAACTTTCGATAAAATATATGAATATCATCCATAAAATATTTTATATTTTATGCTTATTAATTTTATAACAACAAAATTATTGCTTTTGAAAACTAATGAGACATAAATTAAACATTTCCGTTCAAAGAATTCAATTTGTAGGAGTTTTTAAACAAGTTAGCAAAATTTGACAATTTTTTTTATACATGTATGACGCTAAAAAAGTAGGATGTTAAAAAAAACAAAATGCTAGAAAGGTAAGAAGCTGAAAATTTATTAAAACATTGATTATCATCTTACTATCTTAGGTAGGATGCTATAACTAACATTTCTAAGAAACTAGAATGTTAATTTTGTACACTAGGACGTTATAACTAACAATTCAAGAGTAAGATGATATAATCGACATTTTTAAAAATCAGAATGTTTCTACTTCAACAACATCCTGCAAGAGCAAAAGATTAGAAGACCAACATAATTACCTAATTAGGAAAAATGACATTACCGAAAATTTTTATTGTCAGTTTCACGAACACCTTTATATGCAAATTATGAAAACCCACATTATCGCAAATTTGAATCCAAAGGCTTGTACAAAATCTTGCATTTTAATTCCATTGCCACCATTTCTTAAAAACATATTTCACTATGAATTTTAACATAAAATACATTAGCAACATAATAAAAAAGAAGTACCTAAAATTGAAATTGCATTTTTTCCGTCACGGGGTTATCTAATTGGAGTTGTGCATCATTATAATGGTAATACGGATTCAAAAGAGAAGATGTTAAATGTAAAGTTGAATCTAGCCGATCTTTCATCTTTATGTTTATGATATCTATAATGGGCTTGTAATGTTTCTCGTTACCACACAAAGATTTGATAATTTCTTCTTTTGCAACTTTAATCTTCCTGTAAACAAAACCCATTGAGGGCTTCCAATCTGTCACACCCCCAAACCAGGACGACGGAAACATCCGCGGACGGATGACTTCATTGTATTGTGTCATCACAATTGAATATAATTGAAAATGTAGCAACCAACATCGTACATTAAAGATACCAACATACATTGTTTACAGAGTGTATATGTTCACAACTTTACACAAAAGTGACAATAAATATGAAGTTCCAAAAATGTAGTAAATATCCAAAACCCATAGCTCGGGTATCTGCTCACTGAGTCCCTGAGAATACAAGTCATTTTGAAAAGCATCAACTAAAAAGTTGGTGAGTTCATAAGCATATTGTATAAAAAGCTTTGTGATATTTTCTATTGTAATAACATGTACAACCCCAGAAAATCCGATATTTCCTATGAAAAATGATTTGTAGTCTTGTTCTAAAACTGTGAATAATTACATGCGTGTCCTTTGTTTTATTTTGTTTGTAAGTAAAAAGAGTATGTGTTCCCAAAAAATCCCATATTTCATGTTTTATGAAAAGATATAGTCTTAAAAACGCTAAGACTGGAGTGGTTATAGTAAAGTACAAGAGTGATGCATAGTTTTATATTTTTATAAAACCAGTGAAGTGTATAATTTCGTAAATCCAAAATACCATTGTTAATCCCTATGTGAGTCGTTGCAACCATGCTTGATAAGACTAAAATGCCTGTCACGATGTTCTTCAAGCGTCGGTTTCGGGAAGATATTTGTCACCCTAGATTGGCCTAGTCTAGCTGTAGCGAACAGCTCAGGTGTGGGGGTGTCAACCCCGTATAAATCTATACACAATTACCTCGCTCTCCCTCCAGGAGACTCTGGTTATAACTATAGGACTTACGGTGTACGCTATGTAGGTATCGTGAAGGAGAGTCTCACAAGTGCCTTAACAGGTTTATGCGAAATTTTCTGTCATAAAACTTGTATACCGTTTTAGTTCAATTATTTATAATGCTTTTTATAAATAATCATTAATGAATTCGTCTAATCGTAATATACGTTGTGTAAGTAGTATAATCCTTTAAGTATTCAAACTATTAAAATGTGACAACATATTATAACTATTTTACTAATAAAAATAGTTTTTAGTAAAACAACAAAGTTTTGTCTTTTATTTAGCACACCAAATTTAGTTTAAAAGATTTGTAACACAAAACATACTATCTTGGTGTGACTCTAGCATGTCATGATTTTTACAAGAATATTTATAGGAATCTTGAAATTTATTATATTCCATTATTTATGTAAAAATAAAGGTTATAATTTCATATAACCAAAAGTTAACCATTTTTTTAGTGTAACCCATATTTTTACCATTTTAAATGAGCAAACATAACTACAAGACTTTCTAGCACAAAAATGTTATTACTATATATTTTATGATTTCAAACATGTATAAGAACCTTTTTAGTGGTGACTTGTTTCATCTTTAACACATAACCATGATATATGAACTTTCTAAGAGATAGATTTCCCTAGCCTCATGAGGCTTGTAAATCTCGAGTTATGGAGTATTAGCAATGGAATATTCAACATTTCAAACACAAGTAGTTATATAAACACACAACAGCATGCAAACATCGAAATATTTAAACGAAACTTGACTTGTATCCCCCCCCCCCCCCCCCAAGGATGAAAAACATGAAAATAGTGGGGTATGAAGCTCACCTTGGGGATTTTCGAGATGTAGAAGAAGAAGAAGAAATTTCGAGCCTAGCTTGTGTTCTTGGTGAGATTCTAGAAATAATGGTGCTCTAAGGGTCATATACACGAAAAGAAGAGTGTTAGTGGAATGATCTTGGCATAAAC